AAGCCGGCTTAAGGACAATTAGTGCTGGGATTCCCGGTGCATTAGCCTTAAGGACTGAGGCTATGGGGTTTCCAACTTTTGGGCTTCTACTTTTTGAATAGGGGTGGGTTCTAAGTCACAGAACTCCCTGGCCCTTTACCCGATCCGCATTTTCAGAAACCACGCTCTAAGCTCTTCTTCGTGTAGCTGGAGATCTGCAGAGCAGATGTCGAACCTTCTGGCGCCCAACCTGTGCCGGCCTATCTCAGGTGTTCGGGTTTAGGGTTTAGGGGTTTAGGGTGTAGGCACCCGCCATTTTTGGCGTATGTTTCTTGAATCACTACTCCTACCCCTGCACGGCTGGGCAGGTCATACGGGAGGCAGACAAGGAGGCGGAGGCAAGTTTGCAAGCGAACGTCGTTTAGGGTTTAGGGTTTAGGGTTAGGGTCTAATCAAGATCTGAGTACCCAGTGTCATTTTTTGTGTTAACCATGCGATTATGGTTGCTGCTGGCACTGTTCACAAGTACCGTTGACCTTTGGTACTGTTACAAACTTGTGGGTGTTGCTTGAAATGGCGTCGCTTCGGTGGTTTCTGCAGAAGACCATCATGACCGATTGTGATCACCTCAAGGAGTGGCTTCCAGCTGCTTCTGAGGTTGGAAGTACCACCTTAAATAAAGTGAGCAGCAAGTCCGAACAGTTAACATCAGTTCTCCTAACACCAGTGTAACTCAATCTCTTTTTTAGTTAATTGGAAATGGGAAAGGTAGCACTGCTAGTCACAAAGAAGCGAGATAATAAGGATGACAACAACAACAACAACCACAACCCCAACAGCAACGGCAGCGGCAGAGGCAGCGGCAGCAGCAGCAACAACAACAACAACAATAACAGCAACAGCAGCACCACCACCACCAACAACAACAACAACAACAGACTTCGACACCAACAACATCAACAACAACAATAGCAACAACAGCTCCAACAACAGCAACAGCAACACCATTAACTACTGCTGCTGCTGCTGCTGCTGCTACTACTACTACTACTACTATTTCTACTACTATTTCTACTACTACTACTACTACTACTACTACTACTACTACGTCGACTACGACTACTACTACTGCTG